TGTTGGTTCTAGAAGTGCAGGGTTACAAGCTGCTTCATGATGTCCTCATGATAATTTAACAAGGCTGATTTTACTTCATGTTCTTGGACAATGAAACGACGCCACATCACCATTTGGGAAAATATCAAAAACCTGGATGGTTGTCTTGCCAGATTCACCACACCACGTTCTCCTGATATAGACACACTGTGTTCACTTACAGGAACTTTCTGGGTCCACAGCACCACCGTCATTTGAACATTTTCAGTGGTCAATAAATTACTAAATGTTGCTGGAACCAATGAAAGATCTAAATGGTCTGACTGGTTTTAGAAGGTGAATCTCACATGAGAGCTGCTGCAGTAAATCTGCATGAAGACTCTTGGTCAGCTGCTTATTCTTCACTTTAACTGTTTCAAATGTTTAAAATACGGAGGCTGGTTTTCTAACGTGAGAGTCGCAGCAGTAAATCTGCAGAAACACCAGAACAGAACAGAGAGGCGGTAAAACGAGAGGGTTCAAACCCACGGGACTCGGCTGCGCTCTGATTGGGAGGGGTGGTTTCCATGGTTACTGTCTTTAATTAGGAGGGCAATTAAAGAGGTTGAACGGCCCGAGAAGAGACACACTCTCACACTCACACTGTCCTCTCTGGGGACGAGGAGGCGTCTGGTCTTCCTACCCACAAGCCACCGGGGTGATTTCTCTTCAAAGACCAAATTACAGCCTCTGTGTGCTGCTCAGGTTCAGACGCTGCAGAATAACTCTGATCAGAGGATCCACTCACGACCAAACTCAGAACGCTACTGATCTCTGGCCAGCAAACCTCAGAGAGTTAACCTGTTAGCTTAACGTCGTAGAGTTTAGCGTTGCGCGGTTTAAAGTTACGCAGTATAACGTTGGCCAATATAATGTTACACAGTTTAACGTAATATTACGTAGGTTAACGTTACGCAGTCTAACGTTACGCAGTCTAACGTTACACAGTTTAACGTTATGCAGTTTAACGTTACACAGGTTAACGTTAC